CATTGTTCCTGGCTTGTTCTTTGCCCTTGGTCCCGAGGTTGTCACAGGTTTCTCCATGACTGCGTTCTGTTTCCTCAAAACCCAAGTAGGACATGAAAATATTGTCTGAAAACAAATATCTGGGCTGGGCCTAGTGCTGCATGGACTCAACCCCAGCATTTCGAGGGCAGAGTCACGTGGATCCCTGTGAGTTTGAGGCTAGTCTGCTCTACATAGTGAGTTCTAGGACTCCCACAACTACACTCTAAGGCCCTGTCTCAATAAAATAAAATAAAATAAAATAAAAACTAATGTCCTGGATTTAAGCTAAAATAGTTTATTTATATTTTTAGATTGAAATTCATATAAATATTTCCGGCTGTGCCTTTCATATAGAAAAGAGTGAAGATCTGTAATGGGACATTTCCTTAGATTTTTGTTTCGTTTGTTGATTCTTTCTCCATTTTTTAATGCTGGGGAACTAGTTAGCCATGACTTTTCTAGTGAGAGAAGCCTTACAGAGCTTATAATAAGAACCACTAGAATCAAGGGGAAAGAGTGACTGGGAAGTCGGTCACCAGGGCTGAAGTCCACATCCTGCCATAGAAATTGTGTCTGAGCATTGGCCCCTCATGGCCTCTCTCAAGAGGACTGGGTGCCCTCCTCTGACCTACTCGCCAAGGTCATAGCAGTCTTTGTTGGGGGAAAGGCTGCTCGTTCATTCCCAGCTGCCCAGACCACGAAATAATTACCTAGAAACGATATTATTTGCAATACTATTTGGCCAATAGCTTAAGCGTATTTCTAGCTAGCTCTTATATCCTAAACTAGCCCATCTCCATTAATCTGTGAATCGCCACAAGGTCGTGGCCTATTGGCAAAGTTCCAGCAGGCTCCAGTGGAGACATCTGTCCCCAGCGGTGGCTACATGGCTTCTCTCTGACTCCGCCTACTCTCTCTCTATATTTATCTTTTCCATCCTGGCTATATTCTGTTAAGCCTTTGGCCGAAAGCAGCTTCTTTATTCATTAACCAATAAAAGCAACACATATACAGTAGGTCTTCCCACACTAAGTCTTTGTGGGGGACGATTAACTAAAGACAACTTGAAATCTGATTAGAAGCCGAGCAATCAAATATTTTATACAAGTTTGAAGAAATATGTTTGGTGGGGGACAGGGGCAGTTTACTTAACATCTCGTGAAAGCCTGCAATCGCATGATCCTGCATTTTTTTCTTTGTAAAATCAATGTTACTTCTTATTTATCCATAATAGTCTAAACACTGTACCCATGGATGGGGTTATATTTTGACACGTGTGTATATTTTTTAATTGTTTGATACAAGAAAGCATTTAATTGGGTTTATGGCTCCAGAGGGTCAGCGTCCACGAGACTGGAGCAAAGGCATGGGGGTGGGAACAGCTGAGAGCACACATCTCCAGCCACAAGCAGGAGGCAGGGAACACACAGGAAGGACATGAAAACCTCAAGCCCAGGGGCTGGAGAGATGGCTCAGCGGTTAAGAGCATTGCCTGCTCTTCCAAAGGTCCTGAGTTCAATTCCCAGCAACCACATGGTGGCTTACAACCATCTGTAATGGGGTCTGGTGCCCTCTTCTGACCTGTAGGCACATACACAGACAGAATATTGTATACATAATAAATAAATAAATATTGAAAAAAAAAAAACCTCAAGCCCAGTGACACACCTCCTCCAGCGAAGCCGTTCCTACCTCCTGATCTTTCCCAGACAGGTCCAGCTGGGGACCAAGTATTCAAATCGATGAGCCTATAGGGCCATTTTCTTTCAAACCCCACATTCATTCTGTAGGTGACAGAGTAAAGAGAGGCCCCTCGCTTTTCCGGGCAGGACCTCTGATGCAATTCCAGACGTCACTTCTTATTCTCTCTACTTCTAAAGTTATAGCTCGTCAGTCTATCTGTGTGGATACCCTAAGCGGTTTCCTATGTTTTAGATGTTTTGTAATGATTTTCATCTTTTCAAATAGTTACCATTTCTTTACGGTGAAAACATTTGGTATACTGTCTTACTGTCTTTTTATTCTCTGAATGGAAAATGCATTTTTTTTTATTCTTTAAAAGATTTTTATCCTTTAAAAGAAAGCTGCGTTTTCTTTTAAAGTTTTAGAAGTGAACATATACAAGATTGCATGTCTTGTGTTTTTAAAGTAGATAGCCATAAAAACCCAAAAAACTGCTTGGACTTTTGTTTCCTTTCTGGTTTCTCCTCTGAGACACAACATTTTATTTTTTTCCTGTGTTTTAGGTGATGTTTTGGGTGCTCTGACTTCTGGGCCTTTGACTGTAGGTGAGTCTCCCACTGAGGAAGGTGTGGAGCCTTGCTGTCTGTGACTTCCTGCTCTCCCACGGAGCTATTCTAATGCTGTCTATGTTTGTGTGACTGGTCACCTGAGACATGTAGTGAACTATGGTTATTCCCCAGTGCCATGCAGCCTACCGAGTTGTATTGCCCAGTGCCATTCAGCCTGCCGAGTTGTATTGGTGTCCTTTCGACCAGCAGATTTGCCCACATAACCTCCCACCTATCTTGATTGACTATTGGTCCTAAGGCATCTTGTCACCTTCATCCCTGTTTTTCTGTTGCCTGCCTCTCGTACAAGATGAATTATTTCCTGTATCCCATGCCCTGCTCTCTCTTGATTACCCTCCTTCGAATGGCAGATCACAGCCCAAGAAAGGGATGATGCAAGATTAATTTTGGGGGGATATTACATATTTCAGTCCACTTTATTTCCTCACCATCGTGTGCCCCTTAACTCTCCAGAGCTTAGGTTGTGACTGCTGAGTGTACCTGTGCACATTTCTGTGCGTGTGTTTGTTTACTGTCAGTTGAAGGGGAGTTAGGGAAGGGAGTGAAATACCTCTGTTCAACCACCCGTGTGATATAACGCTCCATTTTAGGGACAACAAACATGTCTTTCCAATTTGAGCTGAGACAGCAAAACAGTTCAGGAAGTGGCGGGGGGAGGGGGGGATAGTTGTGCTTTCCAAAAGTGACTGAAGCTGCTGAGCTGAAGAGGAGAAGATTTTAAGAGCCAAAGAAAAATAACAACACTGCCTTGAAGATAGTCTGTCATAGCCAGGCAGTAAGAGGTCTTTATCTGAGAAAAAAGCAAAATTTTTTCTTTTGCTACTAAGATGAAAAAGGTCAGGGCTGGGACTGTAGCCCAGTGAAAAAGTCCTTGCCAAGCATGTCCAAAGCCCCGGATTCTGTCCCCAGTACCACAAAAGGGCAGGGGCAGGCAAGACCCAGAAATTAGCTCTTAAGATCAGGCTTACAAAGCTCGCAGCTCAAAGTTCTTCATGCTGCCAGGAAGAGCCATAGTCACTGATGGGACGAGGCGTGTCTTGATCAACAATACCAGAAAGCCCCGAAGGCCAACGGTTTTGGAGGTGTTTCTCCTGCAAAGGGACCTGTGATGGAAAAAGCAGGGTTTGGGGTTAAACTCGGCCGTCAGGGAGTCACGGCAACTGCTTGCAATGGTGTACCTTTAATTCAGAGTTCCAGCCCGGTCTACAGAGCAAGTTCTACCTAGCAAGATGCTGTCTTAAAGAAAAAAAAAAGTTTCTATTGTTTATCTAGGAGCTTTGTAGAGATCTAAAGCTTTTTACATGCACCTGATTCTGGAATTTTTTTTAATGAATGTCAATTCATATTGGGGAAAAAAGGTAGGAGCATCACTTGGGGCGGCAAGTGGAGGTGATGTTTCTTGCTGCCGGAGAAAGTTAAGGGACATGAAATGAATGGAAGGAGCACCCCTTTTAGCACCAGGCTGTGCAACTGGAGGGCGCCAAGTTTGGTGTAAGCCCAATCTTTTGACTTCTTAATCATTTCTGTAATAAAGTAACAGAAAACTATAGAACGTGGCATGATCACTATAAACTTCTACCGTTGATGTATTGCTAATCTTTCATATAAAGAAACACCCTTCTCTTTTGATTTATTATGTAACGTGTGGTATTTGATATTCTGGTGGTGGAAGTGTCCAAGCTTTGGACACCGTAGCATGACCCTGTTATTAACACATGTGTTGGGCTACATTCATAGCTATCCCGGAACACACGTAGCCCATAGGCTGCAGGTTGTATGCTCCCAGGATTGTATGACAGTATATGTACTGACTCTATAAGGTAGGGTTCAAATCCAGGCTCTGACACTTCTTAGTTAACCTTTCAGGCCTCATTTTTTCTTATCTGTAAAGTGGACAAAGCAGTAAGCATGTTGTAATGAGTGTGAATTAACACACATAAAAGTCTTTAACTGTTACCGGGTGTAGTAAGAGCTCAATAATTTTTTTTTCTTTTGTAAACTACTAGAAGGTTAAAACCACATCTATTCCTATATGTATGTCTTGCAGGGGACCAAAGCCAAGGTCTCACATACAGTAGTCAAGTGCTCTACCATGGAGCTATTTGGAAGCCCTTAATAGATGGTGCCTGTTTGGGGTTCTAATCTCTTAAACTCACTCCTGACATGATGCTTGAGAGCATTGTGTGTAGTGTAAGTGATGGCAAGGCTGCTTCCATACCGGATGCCTTGCCAGCCACCAGCTCCAAACGGTGCCCGCAAGAGTACTTAATTTTCAAAGGAGACTTACGTTATCTTTATTTATGTGTATGTATGTGTCTCTCCAGTGTGCACACATCTGGCTATGTATGTGGATGTATGTATGTGCTTGTGTGTGTGTGGAGGCCAGTAGAGGGCGTCAGAGTCCCAGAGCTGGAGTTAAAGATCGTTGGAAGGGTTGTGAGTCACATGACCCTGGTGCTGAAAACTGAACCTGGGTCCTCTCTAAGAACAGAAAATGCATTTAACTATTGAGCCATTTCTTGGATCGCATTTAATATTTTAAAGCGGTTTTCTTGGCCAGCGTGGTAGGTGATAAGAACTTTCTCCACAGTTGTGATTGCCTCATTTCTAGGCAAGGGGATGCTCTAATGATTTCCCTCACTAAATGTCTTACATTTCTATTTATAGGTCACCGTGGGTCAGGATTCCGAAGGTCTCAGACCCCGATGGGAGTGGTAAGCCATGGCTGCAGATGATAAAGTTGCTATCCTAACTGATGACGAAGAGGAGCAGAAGAGGAAGTATGTCCTTGCTGATCCCTTCAATGGCATCTGTAGGGAAACAGAGCCACCTTCCAACGAGACACCCTCCTCCACAGAGACTTCTGCCATTCCCGAGGAGGAAATAGACTGGATCGAGAAACACTGTGTGAAGATAAACAATGACCTTCTCATTTCCAAGGTGTTCTATTTTTTCTTTTACTCCGCCTATGGCTCTCTGTACCCACTCCTGCCCGTGTATTATAAACAGCTGGGAATGTCACCCAGCCAGAGCGGACTCTTGGTGGGTATTCGATACTTCATTGAATTCTGCAGCGCCCCCTTTTGGGGCGTAGTTGCGGACCGTTTCAGAAAGGGCAAGATTGTCCTCCTCTTCTCGCTTTTGTGTTGGGTTTTATTCAACCTGGGCATTGGATTTGTCAAACCTGCTACCTTGAGATGTATACCAAAGATTCCCCCCACAGCTCACCCCACCAACGTAAGTCACCTAGTAACCATCCTGCCAATGAATTCCTCCACCGCTGCTTTCTTTACTACAGCACCAAAATCGCGCGAGAAAAGGGAACTGCTATCGCTGTCTGAAAAAGAGCCCAACGTCTCAGACACAGCTCTCTTCTCCACGGCTTTGACCTTGACCAGCGAACCCACGCTACAGCCCCAGACAGAGGAAGCTACCCACCGTGTTACGGACTTGATTTCTAATGCAAGCGCAGTGACTCCTACCCCGACAGGAAACACCACGGAGACAACCACGGCTGTTGTCTTTACCACCACCAAATCGTTACCATCGGACCAAGTGTCCCTCGTTTATGACCAGCAAGAAGTTGAGGCGATATTCTTGGTTATCTTGGTGGTTGTCATAATCGGAGAATTTTTTAGTGCCTCTTCGGTCACGATTGTAGACACAGTAACCCTCCAGTACCTGGGGAAACACCGAGATCGCTATGGGCTGCAGCGCATGTGGGGCTCCCTGGGCTGGGGCTTGGCCATGCTGTCTGTGGGCATCGGCATTGACTACACCCACATAGATGTGTTCATTGACGGGAAGGGGTGCAAGCCCCCCGAGTACCGGAACTACCAGATCGTCTTCATCGTCTTTGGAGTCCTCATGACCATGGCCCTGATCGTGGCCACGCAGTTCCGGTTCCGCTACAACCACTTCAAAAATGGCGACAGTAAGGGGAAAGAGGTGGAGATCCCACAGGTGGAGAGGGACAACTCCACAGAGTCGTCCGAGGAGACCCCGACTGGGACGTCCCACTCACAGGCCTTCAACTTCTGGGACTTGATCAAGCTGCTGTGCAGTGTGCAGTACGGCTCAGTGCTATTTGTTGCCTGGTTCATGGGCTTTGGATACGGCTTTGTGTTCACCTTTCTCTACTGGCATCTGGAAGATCTGAATGGAACCACAACCCTCTTTGGGGTCTGTTCGGTCCTGAGTCACGTGTCCGAGTTGACGGCTTACTTCTTCAGCCACAAGCTCATTGAGCTGATTGGCCACATCAGGTAAGAGAATGCTTCCTATTGGCTGCTCCTCAGAGACTGGCTTTCCCATTGTTTTTGTCCTTAATACTTCCAGGGTTTATGTTATGACTGGGCCTAGGTGAGGTTGGAGCTTGCTGCTGCTCCTCTTCCTTCAAATAAGAATAAAGGAAGTGAGGCATCGATTTAGCTGGATTATCCAAGAAACAAAAAAGAGGCCACAACCACCAAAAGTCATAAAGGCTACACAGCTCCATACTAAGGGACTCTGTGGGAGCCTCAACTTGATGAACCCTAATCTGTGGACCTTGAGTGCCTGCTTTCTGTGTTAATTACAAAGGATGACTTTAGTGGGCAAAGTGATTGGTTTTCTCCAGCCTTTTTATATTCTCAAATATTTACTTGTTTCTGGGTTCTGACGGCTCCCTTGGGGTAGGAGGTGAGAAGGCGCGGTATTAATGACATAGACAATAGGAGTCAGGAAAAAGGCAAGCAGAAATCTTGTTTATTCAGCAATGGGAAGAGCCTTATATACTCTTCCCAGCATCCAGGCTGCATTCCGATCCATTGACATTGTGTGGTTGCAATAGCTAGACATTAATCAGGACTTCTGACGGTCCCTGTTGCTAGACCCTCAGGCAGACCCTAGGTTGGTTTATCTCTTGGTCATGTACGTATTATCTTTCTACATATCCACCCATTTTTATTACATGGGTGCTTAGTGGGAGCCAAAGTTCTTTGCTCAGACCCCGCCTTAGGAGGGCTCAGCAACTGAACTGTGCCTGTCTTAGGTTGACCCGCTGAACAAGTTCTTACCCATCTTGACTACCGATCTCAAAGAGCACTTGTTCCTGGAGAGTTGCCAGGGTTGGGGACTAGGCAGTAGCCTTTTGAATTTCAGGCAACCAGACATGCATAACCTCCTGCAGAGGACTGTGAGAGGGATATCTAAGGGTCCTTAATACCTGAAGAGTCGCCTTAATTGCTGCCTGCTGCTATTGAATATGCTGCAGAAAGCATGTAAAGATAATAAGGATTAATAATACCATGCTGCCAATTACGGCATATGTGAGCATCCAGGAGGGATCAAGCAATCTTTTTATAGTCTACCAAACTTTTCAGTAAAATGTTCCCCTGGCTGTTGAATAAGATTGTGGAAGTAAGATGAAGGGTCCCACGGGGTGTATGCCTCAGGAGCCTTGAAGGCCAGGTCAGAAACCTGTTGGCAGTAGGCTTGATGGCCAATCTGTGCCTTTTGGACGGGATGGACAAAGTCATCCAGTGAGCATGTTAAGGGTCACTGGAACATCCATTAGAGGTTTGTGCGAGTCTGATCTTCTGCTTGAACATCACTGGGTCTGGGGAGGGCTGCAGTGGCTGGGGTCATACTGCAGCATGAGGGAATTACAGCCTTCAGAGGCAGGTGAACATTGGGGCACTTCACTCCAAGGGTACCACGGCGGAGGTACAGCCTCCCATAACAGGAGTGGAGCTGACTGGGACATGGTACGTGCAGTCTTATCTGTGGCTGCACTCTACTCAGCAGGCTTCAAGGGGCCTAAACCATCTGCCTTTTCCCTATTGGATGCTGTAGAGAGATCAGACATGGAAGGAGAAGTTACCCATTTTGTAGAGGGAGATAGCAAGTGAGCAACAGACAGAGAGAAGATGGCAATCAACAGGGGTGGAAAATTGTGTTGGACCTTCAGGTTTTACACTTAGTGGGGGGACTTCTGTGGTTTCTTAGGCCATGACTGTGTGCCCACACTGTGTCTCTGGACAAGGGCAGGGTGTGGGAGTCGAGCCTCAGTTTTATGTGGCAGCGCTAGACAAACCACAATAGAAAAAAAAAATGTGCCTTCCTAACTGGACAGGCAGACAAAAATAAACATGACAGACAACACAAAAGAAAGGGGGTCCCATCATGTTCCTGCTGAAGGGATGGAAAGCCACACAGCCTTGAGTGGCCTTTTCCCAGAAATACACAGTCTTGGGGCGCTGTCCAGCACTGTGCATGCTCAGGCTCCAGATGTTGCTGGTACCTAATGGCTCCCTCGGGAGAGGGGCTGAGAAGGCACAGCATCGATGGCACAGACATCAGGAGTGAGATGGAAGGCAAACACAGACTTGTTTATTCAGCAGTGGGGGGAGCCTTACATCCCCTCCTCCCAGCATCCAGCTGTGTTCCAACCTGTTGACATGGCGTGGTTCACCTCATTGGCGAGGCACAATCAGGACTTCTGACAGCCTGTTTCTAGGCTCCCAGGCAGACTCTAGGCTGGCTCTTCTCTCAGCCTTGTAGGCCTTGTCTTCCTACACTTACTGACATAGAGCAAGGGAATATGGCATATAACGAAGCCAGGGGCTAGGTAGATAGCTCAGTGATAGAGCCCTGTGACTGGGAGTCTTGATCCTTAGAACTGCCAGGAAAATAAACAAAAAAGAAAGAAAGGGAGAAAAAAAACCAACTGTTATACTACAGTCTTCTCATCCATGACATTACATGGGAGAGATATTTATATAATATTTCCCCCAATTACCTTAAATTTTGAAGTTCTGTATGCCTTAATGACATGGATTGTTTAAACATCTTCCTTTTGCCCAAAATTTCTTATGTTATCCTTTTAATTAAGATAAAATAAACTGCCTACTTTCCCTGTAGTGTAGTGTTTGCTACCATTAACGTTTCTGTAAAGGCAGATTGAATAACGCCTCATATCCTAGTCTTCCCTGCTCAAAAACATGGTGTGGACGATAGTAACACTCACCCTGTAGAGAAGCGTGACGGATCTTGTCCATAAACTACTAAGCCGACCTCACTAACAACACCTGTGTGTTGCGTGTCTGTGATAACCTTCAGATTTGCCACTGCCATACGAAATTACAAAATACGACAATATTGCAAAATGCAATATCAAATACGCTGTTCAAATATGAAATCACGAAGGAGCAGACCATGGGAAAGCTTGGATAACAATGGCGTTTCTTCTTTTCAAACTGGAGAAAGTGTTTTCTTGTTTAATGTTTCAGTGAGAATCACGCTTCCCCCTCCCCCTTCCCACCTCCTGTCTGTGTGAATATTTTTCCCTGTTTGATTTTCTTTGTGAGGTTGTGTCCCTGCTCGTTTCCTTTCTCACGTCTTTGACCTCCCCTTGTCACTGAAAGCCAGGCACTGCGTAGATGGCTTCCAGACCTAGCGTTCCTGTGGGTGAAGTACTACAAGCGTTCAGAAAGTCACCTAAATAGTGGGGATAAGGCCCCCTCTGTACCTTGTACAAGCCATGCCTAGCGCATTGCCCTTGACAAATCTGGTCTCTGAAGCCTTGGTGTGGGAGTGAGCCCCGCCGCCAAAGCATCTCTTGAGTCAGCATTTTATTCCGAAGGCATGTCTAGTTAGGTGTCAACAACGAGTGGAATTTCCAGACAGAATAATTTACTCAGCCAATCACATAGTTGAAAACAGTATAAAGTATACACACATTTAAAAATAGCTGTACCAGGCCCTTCTTACATCTAGAAAAAGATGTCTGTCTATATGAAATATTTATTTCCTTTTTAGTTTTTTCGTTTGTTTATTTTCTAGTACTGGGGATTGAGCCCAGTACCCCATGCGTGCTGGGTAAGCCCTCTACCACTGAGCGATACCCTCAGGCCTTAGATATATACCTTCTGCAACAACATTCTGCTCAGTTCACTATGACTTTGGGTAATTAAATGAACTTACACTTATATTATTCCATTCTTAGTAGAATTAGTAGCTACTTAGAAATCCACAGTTCATATAATGTTAATTTTATGGTTTTAATTACTAAGAACATCTTCCTTTTCTTGCTGAACAAGGTAGCAGAGGAGGTGGCTCCTGTCGTCTCATAGTTGCTCTCCAGAGCTTTGAGGAGGATTCCATCAATATCGGGTCATTACCCCCATTTTGCTTTTAAATTCTGCCCATTAAAATATTGAAGAAACTTGAGGATAGATCAGTGGGTAAATGATGCATTTATTTAATTATGATTTAACAATTAAAAACTCAGGAGTCAGATATCAGGGTAAGACCTGAATGATCAGAGAAGCAGCGGAGAAGCAACCAGTGACCTCCGGTCTCTGCTGTTCCCTCATCCAAAAGGCTGGAACCCTCTCTAAGCCCCGTTCTACTACTTCCTGTCTCTCTATCTGCCCTCAGTCCTCCAAAACCTCTATGGTTAATTTTGGTCAGCTAGCCGCTAGCTCCGCTCTCTGATTCAAAGAAAACTTCATCGTCAGAATACCATCAAAATACCACACGACAGGTAAGAGTTGCTTTTCGTGCGAGCACCAGGACCTGAGTTTGAATTCCTAGAACCCACATGTAATCGGATTGTTGTTGTTGTGTGTGTCTGTAATCCCAGCACTATTACAGGGAGATGGGAGGAGGGGCTGAGAGACGAATTCTTGGGGGCTCCCAAGCCAGCTAGCCTGGAGTACAGAGCATGGAAAAGAAAGAGATGCTGTCCCAAACAAGGTGGTTGGTGACGCCAGGCACCTAAGGTTGTCCTTGGACCTTTCCACACATACATAGCATGCGTGCATCTGCATCTGCATGCATGAGCGTTCACCCGCTCACACACATCAAACCCAGATACACAGAACACATTACTGATGAAAACGTCCACACTGGTCCTCAGAGACAGGGCTGGTTCTGTTGGTGACAATGTGGAGGGCCCAGTCAGGTGATGACTGTCAAGATGCGGGATTGAAATGCATGCTTCAACTTCTCATTGAGAGGGTCAGACATCAAAAAGCCTAGGAAATGACCTTTCAAAGAATTCTAGGCTTTATATAGAATCATAAATCTATGTTCCTGGTATGTTTCCAGGCACTTTGATCTTTGTGTGTGGCCTATATATAAGTGTGTTTGCTTAGATGTGGAGACTATGTTAGCTGCCATCCACACTGGTTTTCTTCTCTCTCTCTCTCTCTCTCTCTCTCTCTCTCTCTCTCTCTCTCTCTCTCTCTCTCTCTCTGGGTAGGGAAGCAAGAACTCACTA